GAGGATGGAGGAAATATGGGCATTTATAGATAAGGAATTAGGGTTTGGTTGGTCTTGGGTCATCTTGGCCCTTGATTTGAAAGTTGATCAATGGTGGAGAGGGAATCTTGAGGGAGAAGCCAAGTGTGGTTTCCAAGAGAGGTGGTAGGTAATGGAACACATGTGATGGAGGTAGATGGCACATGGGCCTAGAGGTAAAAGGTAAAAATCCAAAAGGGAAGAATAATAAGAAAAATAAGAGTGAGGGGAACTACCATATGTTACAAGCTCAACCTCGGTATTGAGGGCTCGATGGCTCGGTATTGACAAGTAAGCAGCTTGGCGCCACAGCCTGCTCGGCATCTATACGGGTAGCCCAGCATAGGCGCGGATAGCTCGGCATAGGCGTAAACAGCTCGTCAGGGGTGCTCGGCGTTGAGGGCTCGGCGTACGGAGTCGCGTGGGTGCTCGTCATTGTGTTAGCTGCTCGGTGCCACGGAGACACTCGGTATCATCGCAGGTAGGCGGATTGGGTAGGAGTCACGGTGGTCAGCGTTGGGCAAATGGGACAGTAGCTCAGCCTCGAAGTGCCCGACCTTGGAGAGCTCGGCGTGGCAAAGTTCTCGGCTCGGCAGGGTCGGCAAGAGTGGTCGACACAGCCCAGTGTTCGGCGTGCCGGTGCTCGGCGCAGTGGAGTGCTCGGCAGCCTAGTGCTCGGCGTCTCGGTGCTCGGCGCAGTGGAGTGCTCGGCATGGCTGGTGCCCGGCATCGGGGGACAGCTCGGCGCGGAGAGCTCGGCATGAGGTGCTCGGCACGCACCCGTGCTTGGCGTCGGTGGACGTCGCCTCCGGTGCTCGGCGGTCGGCATCTCGCAAGTGCTCGGCTTTGTCGCGAATGCTCGGCGTTCGGCGCTTCCGCTTGCTCGGCATCGTCAAGATGGCATGAAGTGTCCGGCATGTCAACGAGTGTTCGGTGTCACATGGGCGCTCAGCTTCGAAGGGGTGTGACATTACATGTGCTTTGTATTACGACTCGGTAGCCCGAGGCAGCTCGGCATTGAATGCTTAGCATTGGATGCTTGGGGTTCTACGCATGAGCCCGCGTGGTGTTGAGAAAGTATGGGCGGAGTAGGCACAATGCTTGCTACGATGCATGTAGTTGTCCATTCCTTATAATAAGCCCAACTTGTCTAAGGAATGGGGGGGCTAGATGATGTGGGCATTAGTAGTAGCTCGAGAGGAACCGGTTGCAATCCGGTCATCATTGTTATATGAGGGGGGTTGGCTAGCATGATGGTAGTCGGGTAGCTGGGTAAGCTCGGCGTCTTTGTGCGTTCGGCGCTCTTGAATACCCCGCATAGGTGAGTACTCGGCGCAGGAAGAGCAATAAGGTGCTCGGCATAGGAAGAGCAGTGAGGTGCTCGGCGTGCTCGGCATAGGAAGAGCAGTGAGGTGCTCGGCGTTGGTGGGTGTTCGGCGGCCCTGGGTGCCCGAAAGTACTCGGCACATAGGTGGCCCGGTCAGAGGGCTCCGTCAAAGAGGCTAGAACCTGAAGGTGGCTTTGGGATTAAGTTACGAAGGAGTTGGTAGCAACAAGGACTCTAGTAATTCAGAATATTCTTGACCTAATTAAGTAGTTCACACAAGAAAGACTTCTTGTCTCATGAGGACTCTCCAAGTTCTCCTATAAAAAAGAGCAGGTTCATTCATTTTACACAACACACATACACGAGTTATCTCGTTACTCTGCCGTTTTCTCTCTAGACCATCACTGACTTGAGCGTCGGAGTGTTCGCGCCGGGACCACCCCCGGTGTACTTTGCAGGTATCGACGATCATGGAGACGCAACCCGGTTCGAGAGGAGCGGTCCAGTGGTTCAAATATTTGTGGTATAACAGTGAGAGATAGACTTTCTTTTTGGTGAGAAATGAATTCTCTGCACTAAAATCCATATATAGAGAGGGAATTGATGATTTGTTTTCTTCTTTTACGGTGGAGTGCATAAGTTGCTACATCGCACGTTTTCGAAAATTATGCACGAGATTTAATTGAGTGTGTTGTGTGTTTTTAAAACTACCTAAAATATATCATTAATTAAATATAATGATATCCTATTAACGGTTAATCAAGGCTAAAAAATACTCATAAAATGTTTGACTGTATTTTTTCTATTATTTTGATAATGAATAGCTAATTTTTTTCTATTTCAATTATTCACAAAGAAGAAACCGGGCTATGAATTGGCCCAATTCCAATATATTTCAGACCCCAAACCAAAACCCCTCACTAAACCCTAATCCCCTCAACGGCCAAACCTAGAAGCTTCCACTGGAATTATATATTCCTATCTACCTTCAAACCCCCAACGCATTTCTGCAGCTGCAAAGCCGACATTTTATCCACTTAACGCTCAGCAATGGCCAAACGCTTGATCCCAACATTCAACAGAGTTCTCGTCGAGAAGATTCTGCCCCCTTCCAAGACCTCTGCTGGTATCCTCCTCCCAGAAAAATCAGCCAAGGTATTTAGTGTGCTTTCGTGTCTTTAACATTTATTTGTTTTTATTTAAGGTTTATTTTTTTGTCCTTTGATAAAATTTGATTTTTTTTTTCATTCCCGGTATCTGTCTACTACAGTTGAACTCCGGTAAAGTTATTGCCGTCGGGCCGGGGACTCCTCTGGAATCAGGGCATAAAATCCCAGTTGCTGTGAAAGAAGGAGACACTGTTCTCTTGCCTGAGTATGGTGGAACCCAAGTCAAATTGGGCGACAAAGAGTGAGTTTTTTTTTTTTTTCTTTAATTGTTTCAGAATTTTTTCAGTTTATTTCTGTCATTTTGCTTGAAATTTTCTTGATGTTTTGGGGGGTTTGCAGGTATCATTTGTACAGGGACGAGGATATCTTGGGCACTTTGCACGATTGATTGATCTGTCAGTTGAATTTGTTTATGATGTTAGAACTGTGGATTGATGCTTTTGTTGGGTTTAATGGAATTTTGATTTGATCTGTTGTGGATCAATTTGGGGTTTCAAGTCAAGTATGGTTGAATGTTGCAGAATTTGGTCATGATTATCTACTACATCTCATGTAACTGTTTTTCTTTCTTCATTACAATTGAGTTTCCCTTTCTTTGAGCAATGTTTTTTTTTTTTTTTTCAAAGTTCAAAGCTCTCACTGGTTTGATATGAGTTGGTGCCTTCTTTTCTTTAATTAATTTAGAGCTATGGAGATAAGTATGTGCCTATGGATGTGCTTTGTGCTTTTATCTTCATTATGCCTCTCATCAGTTAACTCCACTCCACACTGACTGCAGTAGCAGAAACAATTTCTGTTTTGTTTATGTGCTTGGCAACAATTTGAAAGGCACTCTTTTAACTTGGAGAACAATGTCTTTTGTTCAGTTTCATTTGTAAAGAATAAAGTTATATTCTTTTGGAAAATAAGCATATACAATATGCCCAAATGTTTGTGCTTTCATTTCCCCTAAGGTCATACAATAATTACATATTCAATTGAACTTACTCAATTGAATGTTGCACAAGACATGTCCAACAAAAAAAAAAAAAAGAAATCTTTCTCACACTTGTTTTTCGGTAAAAAAACTCATTTTTAATTTTTTTTTTTTCAAACGAGAAATAAATTCATTAAAACTCAAAGGAATATTCGGTAACTAAAAGGCTACAACCATACATCACTTACAGTAGCAATGAAATAGCAAAGACATAAAGCCCAATCAGTCTATTACAAAGACATAAAGCCCAATGTCTTAACACAATATTTAAAAAATTGTACCAACATGGACCTGGCAAAATTCCACCAAGTCTCTAATGACAGACAATGTAGAAGGCATGTTCTCCTTCAAGGCCAATCCCTTGTGAATTTCTTTCACCAATTCCTCAGAATGAAGCAACAAGAAAAATTGATTGCATCTAGCATCTTTAGCTTTGTTCAAGCCCCAAGTCACAACCAACAACCACTCATCCTGCTCCTCTAATGTGCCTTGCACCACTGTCTGCCACTGAAACAAAATGGCTCCTTGCTGGTACATAATGTCCTCCACAACCATCTCAGCATCATTATAAGATGAAGCACTGAGAGTCATTGCTGACTTACCTACTTCCTTAAAAAATTTATGCTGCTGTAGATGATCATGGGAGTAATCACAGACATCAATTTCTCTGGTATGTTTGGCCTCTATCCATTCCACCCACTCTTATTTGGAATCTTCTACTATCTGCTTGTCATGGATCCAATCACCTTTGTAGAGCCATTTATTTCTAGCTTTCCAAAGGTGCCACATAAGAACTGCAGACAATCCCAGCATGTCCTCCTTCATATGAAGATCTGAAGCACAACATACTTGAACCCACCATCTTTGGAAGACCTTGCCACTACACTGTTGAGAATCCCACTGTAAGCCACACCATTTCCAACAGTTAATAGCTCTTTGACAATCAAACAGGATATGGTTGTTATCTTCCATCTATTCTTCACAAGTAGCACAAATAGGATCCACCATCATTTTCCTCTTTAGTAACTGATCATGTGTGCTTAAATAGCCAAACCAACATCTCCAGACAAAATTCTTTATTTTTGATTTCACATTCAAGTGCCAAGTTACCTTCCGCATTTTTGCAATGAGTGATGGGTCCATACTTGAGCTGGCCATCTCCTGAAGCTCTGCTTTCTTCTGCATAATTGATTTGTACACCTCCTTAACTGAGAAAAATCCTTTAGGATGCAAGTGCCAGATCAGTTTATCATTTCCTCCATGCATAGAGAGAGGGATTTTGGATATGGCATCTGCAAGCTGAGGATAAAAAATTTGCTGAAGTAAATCAACATCCCACTCTATTCTACCCACCCTCATTAAATCACTAACCTTATTAAACCTAGAACTATTCCCCAACAAAGAAATCTCAGGAACAAGAAGAGAAAAATTAGGAATCCAAGGAGTATTCCATATGGATATGGAAGACCCATTTCCCACCTTAAACCTAGCCCCCCCTTGTAAATGCTGCCTAACCCCAAGAAAACTTTTCTACAGCCAAGAATCTTGTGGTTTAGAAGACACCCAAAAAAGACTGGACTGCCAAAAGTATCTCCCCTTCATCACTCTACTTACCTAAAGATTAGGCTGGGTAAGAAATCTCCACAATTGTTTGACTAGTAAAGCATCATTAAAAGCAGTTAAGTCTTTGAAACCCAACCCCCCTTTATCTTTATCCCTCACCAATTTATCCCACCTCACCCAGTGAATTTTCTTACCCCCCCCTCCCCTCTCATTATTACCCCACCAAAAAATCAGCTATATTCTGACATAACTGCTTGACCACAGAAATATGAACTTTGAAACAAGACATGACATATGTAGGCAATGCACTCAAGAAAGCTTTGATTAAAACCTCTTTACCACTCTCACTCAAAAACTTATTTTTCCAGATTTTCACTCTCTTCAGTACACGCTCACTGAAGAATTTGAAAGTATCTCTCTTGTTTCTACCAATCCCTAATGGCAACCTAGGTATTTGGAAGAATTAACCCTTGAGATCCTATAAAGAAAATCACAGATAGCCTCACAATGAGTTTCCAGCATGTTCTTAGAAAAAACGATGGAGGATTTATCAAAATTGACTAACTGACCAGAATCATGCCCATACCTATCTAGAATAGAAACAAGCAAGTTAGCATGTTGAATGTCAGCCTTACAGAACAACATAGAATCATCAGCAAACAGAAGATGAGTGATGCTAGGAGCATGGGGCCCAATTTTTATACCCTGAAATTGCCCAGAATTAGAGGCCTAGTTGATCAAAGAAGAAAAGGCCTCAGAAACCAAGATAAATAAGTAAGGGGATAAAGGTATTCCTTGTCTAATCCCTCTAGTAGGCTGAATGAAACCCAAAGGAGACCCCTCAACATTAAAAGAAAAAAAGGCTGAACACACACAAGCCAAGATCCAAGATATGAAAGTATGACAGAAGCCCATTCTCCTACAGACTCTTGCAATGAACCCCCATTCTATTCTATCATATGCTTTTGCCATATCAAGTTTCACAGCCATAGAGTGCATTTTACCTCTTCTCTTACTATTTATAAAATGAATGCATTCATTGGCAAGTATAACATTATGCAATATTTGCCTACCAGGCACAAAGGCAGCTTGAGAATTAGAAGTGCAAGCAGGAAGCACCACTTTAAGTCTATTAGCAATCACTTTGGCAATCAGTCTATACACAATAAAACATAAACTAATAGGCCTAAAGTCAGCAACACAAGTGGGATTGTTTTTCTTAGGAATTAAAGTAATCACAGTGTGATTCAACCCCCTAGGCACCCTCCCATTAGCAAAAACATTATCAATAGCCAGACAAACATGATGTTTAATATAAGGCCAGGAATGCTGAAAAAAACAAGCTGTAAAACCATCAACACCAGGGGCTTTATCTTTAGCCATATCAAACAAAGCAGATTGAATTTCAGATTCCTCAACCTTCTTAATCAAGTCAGCATTCATGTCTTCAGAAATACAACAATCAATACCTTCCAGAGGACATATCTCATCTAAAGGATTGGAAGATTTAAACAAATTCTCAAAGTAAACAAGCAATTCAGATACTACTTCCTGAGAATTGACACCAGCAGACCCATCAGCTTTCAAAATACCATCTAGCCTATTCATCTTCCTTCTTTGATTAACACAAGCATGGAAGTATTTCGAATTTCTGTCTCCCTCTTGAAGCCACTTCACCCTAGCCTACTGTTTCTAGAAGTTTTTCTTATCTCTATAGGCTAAGTGAAGCTCAGCCTTCTTACTAAACCATTCTCCCCAATCTCTATCTCCTCCTAACTCCCTCAATTGATTTAACCTGGATTTACAATCTTCTATAGTGAGCTTAGCATTAGAAACATGACTTTTTTTCCACTGAAGAAGTTGCATTCTCACATTCCTAAGCCTATCCTGGATACTAAATAAAGCATGACCCACCACAGGTTTATTCCAGGCATCCTCAACTATAGAATTAAAATTCTCCCTTTGAACCCAAGAGGCATCAAAACAAAACCTTTTTTTCCCAGTCAAGATTTCAGGCAAGCAATCTAAAAGAATCATACAATGGTCAGAGGAAAT